TATATTGCCTTTGATAAAAGTTAACGTCTTGAACACCTAAGAAGTACTATTGTAGATGAGACCTGTTCTACCCCTATAGGAAGTCCTACTTCATTGAGATAATTCTTATTGTACTGAATACTATTCAAAAATAGATAAATTAAAAAGTCATTTTATTAATAGAATCTCTTGTAGATTAGAATTTGGTTTTCCCGTATCTACTGGAGGTATCTACTGGAGGCATATCTTTTATTTTTCGGATTGTTCCACATTCGCCACGTGTCGTTTTGCCACGGCAATAAAAAAGTGCTCTTTCGCCATGCATGTTATTTTGTTTACCTGTCTAGATTGAAAAATAAACTTTTACCTTCGACAATATCAGAAGAAAAAAAAAGAAAGAAAATTGTTTCAAATTTACCTTTATTTACATTTGACATTTATACAAATAATAAATCTAATTTAATTTAACAACATATTTAAGTTTATTTATGCACTCAGAAATATTAATTTCATTATTTAAAAGTTTATCAACAGTGCTTTTAATTATAAAATCAATATTAATATTATGTTTGGATCTCTTTTTTGGGGTTATATTAAAATTTACCTGATCAATAATAAAACCAAAATACTGACTATCATTTTTTAAATGGCACACTAGTTCACAGATGTTCGGACTGTATTTCCCAACTGCACGATTAAGACGATTATGCTAACCTTCCAAAGCATTGGTAGTACGATGTCTTTTATTAAAACACGACCAAATATCACCTATTATATCATTTGCTAACCATTGCTTGACAAAATAATTGTTAAATTCTTCAATAGTACTTAACTGCGGGGGATTCCTCCATAATATATAGCCATCCATCGTCGACTGCAGTGGGAGGCAGATGGGCCAATGCTGCACATTTCCTTTTATGTTCCTTTACGTCAACGTTTTCTACATACTCCTTTGACAATCCCAGTGATTGAACTTTCCTCCAAAGACATTGATTAAAGTGAAAGTTACAACCTTTCAAACTGGCATCAGGAAACACTTCGCGAAAAGCATTTAATACCGGAATTTCAAAATCAATTTCTCTTTTCATTTATCTAAATAGTCGTTTGTATGTGGACTCTTTTTTATTCGGCAGTAAAGAATAGAAAACAGGCACTATGTATGTAGCTTCGTGTGTACTGCCTATGTCAGCATGAATTGTATAAACTTGGGAAAATTGCTTACAACAACTTTTGAAAGTTCCATCTCCAAAAAACGTGGTGCTTTGAACAATATTGCTTATTCCTTTTTTGCTGGCAAAACCAAGAATCCTGTCATTATCCTTTAAATCATCAACTACTACGAAACTATCCGCAAGATTATGAGGTAGAATTATATCTGAAGATTTTTTGAAACTCACAGCTCCAATTGACTTTCGTCGTTCTTTGTAGAGAGCACTTTTCTTGGATAGAAATGACGGAACTTCAGTCACAAAATCTAAGCCAGCGTCCTTAACAGTAGCCAAAGATTGATTAAAGATTTGAGGAATTGGGGTCAGTTCCTCTCTAGCTCGTTTTCTGCATATCATTAACGCCTTCTCTACTTCCACACTAGCCTGATTTGGAATGCAATTGTGCTCTGTTTGCCGTATAACTGTTGATTGGCAAGAAGTTAAATAACCACAACACTTTCGGCATGTACATCTCCAGGTTAGAGGCCCATTCGTAAATGGTTATAATTATAACCTAAGTAGGTGAGTTTTGGACGACCTCTTTTAGTTTCAAGAAACTCCATAATTAATTTCAAATATTTAAATTGAACCCATTGTATAGACAAGAGCTCGGTAATCAATGATTACTATAATAAATATATAATTTAATAATAATATTAGTAAATTGGTACTTAAATAGGTCCTAATTTTCTTAATAGGTATTATTGTATACTTGTTAATACACAATTCCCAGAATTTAAGACGGCATCAACCTCGACACATTATAATCTTTTAATACCCAATGCACTTTAAAATAGATATTTGCATTGACAAACTCGACATAAAGTTGTTATACCTGATCCCCGATCACTTATTAATAAACAACCCTATTTTTAATTAATTAAAATTATAATTTGAAATATGTTCTTATGTATAATTTTGTTAAGTACAAAAACTGCGTTTTATTCTATGAACTTATTATGTTGAGTATCTTTCCTATGAAATCGAAGGTAATGCGCTAGTTCAGTGATGATGTAATTATGGTTCCACTGACAATTAAAGTGACAGTAGATTTTTTGAGTGCGTTTTGTTCGTTTTGTTTGCCTAAATTACATCGTTTCTTCAGTTTTATAAATATATTCCTAATGTAAGTAAATAACATGCATCAAATATACAATCGTTTAGTTACCAATTAGATACCTTTAAACTATTTTTTATGACCTGTAAACAATATTTAGAAATAAACTAAAAACAGTAAAAACGTATACGTCAAATTTATTGATGTTTTTATTAAAAGTTTGGTTAGAATTAAATGTCAGTGGAACCAAAATGACATCACACCGAACTAGCGTATTATGACCGAAATGTGCGTACACATTGGGGATTGACACAGGTAGCCTTACTGCAGTAATAGAAGAAAGGAAGTGTAGCGAATCTGCACTGACGTGCTACGTTATCTGATTGTCGTGGCAAAACGCTACTAAAGCAGGTAAATTTCCTTTTCGTGGCGAAACAGCACGTGGCGAAACAGGAAAATACCTATTTTTCATTCAAATTTAATAGATAGTAATTTTTGTTTCCGTATTTTTATCAATTAGGTACTTTTATTCGTAGAGATATGCTGATTTAAATACGGTGGCATCTAGTTTATAATTACAGGGTGATTTAATTATTATATCCAAGTTGCCTCATCCACGACCCTTTTTACAAAGCTTTAATCACTTAAATTGGACAAACAACATCAGAGGTTACAAATATTGACACCCGCATTACATATTACAAGAGGAACTGATCGGAATAAGCCCTAACGAAGAACTTAAGTACAGTTTAGAAATGGATATCAGCTTTTTGGTCTTCAAAAAAATATACCTGTTACTTATCAAGCATTATGGAATATCGCGAGAAATTTTTTAATAGCATTTTCGACTTCCTATCTAGTAAAAAAAAGGTTAGAAACAAATTGGACATCAGTAATTAAGGATATTTAAGATTAAACCTCCCTAAATTGATGCCAAATATTGAAAATGTATTATCAACGTAAGTACCAGGTGCATCCCTCCTATTAAATATCGTTTATTTTTACTTATTGATTTTATGTAATACATTGGTTCAGACAGTTATAGTCACATTAGACAGTGAAAAAGCCTTCGACACCGTCTGGACCCGTGGGCTGATACACAAAATGCTTGTGAATGACTTTCCCGGGCATATTGTAAAAATAATTTAATCATATTTGACTAATAGACAATTCTGTATAAAAATAAATTCAACAATAACAGGACCATTTCTAGCGATGGCGGGAGTCCCCCAAGGCTCAGTACTCTCGCCGCATTTGTACACCATTATGACCTGTGACTTACCCATGGGTGATAATGATGTACAAACGGCGCTGTACGCCGATGACATCTGTCTGTTCAACAGTAACAAATCCGCAGAAATAGCCACCAGAGAGCTGGACAACCATATAAGTGGACCGTTGACAACCTATCTAGCAGAAAATAAAATGAAAATCAATTCTAACAAGACAGAAACGATGGTATTGACTAAGAGGTGGACCCAAGGCATAACCACGCCACTTAGCATACAAAATGAACAAATCCTGACTAAGAACACAATTAAATACCTCGGATTTCAGCTAGATAGGGGGTTAACGTTTCATCAGCATATTAGAGACCAAATTAACAAAAATTACGAGATTCTACGGACCCTGTACCCCATAATGAACAGGCGAAGTAGAGTCAAGCTTGAAAATAAGGTATTATTATATAAAACCATATTCAGACCCATTTTAACTTATGGTTGTCCGGTTTTCTGCTCCATGGCTCAAACACATTTCAACAAACTGCAAAGAGCACAGAACAGATGTTTAAGGCTAGCGTTAGGGGGTAACCGCTACACTAGATTACTAGACATGCACAGGACGACCAAACTACCATACATAAAGGACTTAATTACATTGACATTGAGAATTTTTACGCGCGATGCCTCCCTGATGAGTTGAGGGACAGCATCATTACATACATCGGGGAGACAACGTGCGAAGAAAGCACGGATGCATACATCAAAACCTAAATATATACAGAAGACAATAACAGGACCATTCACAGTGACAAATTCTCACAAACAATTCTCACGGCATGGATATTTACACGATCTAGTCGGACGGACGACTGAGCGCTGAACCAATCGACATTGCCCCGGTCGAGGGCACTTTACACTCTCGACTGTGGCTCTTTCGAGGGGTTTTTCGCCCACTTGTCCTGAGAATTGTGACACACTACATAGACTATACACAAGACCACTTACAAGCAATGACAACCCTGTTTTTTACTAGCTTTTTCAGGGGACAATAACAATAACTAAGACCAACCAAATTTTTTAACGCTGACAATTCCCGATTCCATAATACCCAAAATCCCTTAATAATGCCTTTCTGGCAAGGAGTAAGGGCTGCTATATTTAGTAAAATCACAACAGGAAATGACTGTAACATATTATAGACGAAGTTATCGTCATTGGCCAAGCGGGTACCTGCAGGCCGGCACAACAACATTTGGAGCTGTGTTTTATATTTTATGTTAAGTTGTATACTTTTGTAAATATTTTAATAATTGAATAAATGTTTTAAATAAAAAATAATAATTGGTTCGTTTTAATATCAGTTTCATTAATAAATGTATAAAAATCAATGTGTGTTTCATTGTTTTTTTCTTTAATACCTCAGTCAAAACACATTTGAAGTTGATGAATTTTCAAAAATGCAATATTAGCTAAGCAAAGAATCTATCCAAAATCGAAAAACATTACAAGTATTTAAAATAATGATTTGCTTACCTTTCTAGTTCCTGTAAAAGTACAATGACAGTTGGTGACATTGTTCTCTGAAAATATCTTTTTACCCTCCAAAGTTCGTATTCATCGGGTATTTTCTTTAAGATGTCCTTAGCTAAATTATCAATGAATTCTTCTCTACTAATTCCTTCACCGCTGCCGGCTAGATTAAGATAATATACAATCTTTAAGAGTAAGAAACTAAGTAATATTATACAGCCTAAAGTTAAATCGTTACTTCAGAGTACCTAATACTTGGAGTATATGTGGTCATGTGTCATGTGATCAAAATACTGTTTGATTCTCGACTTATTTCTTTACCATGGGTAAAGATTAGCCGCCAGGTCATATACATGATACAAAAATATAGCTGCGAATTTGCGGAAATCGTTCTAAGTGTAGGTACGGCATCTTAAAAGTGTCCCTTTTAAGGAGGTCTTTTCGCCACCAATGTTAAATAAAAAATATTAGATTATGACTAAAACTAATTTTTTTCTAATAGTAGAAGTCCTTATTTATCTAATAGTGAACTTTTAACTATACCTTACCGTGCAAATTTTTAAGAAATTTTTTTTTAAAAAATGTGTGTGTTTGTACAGTGGTCTTACGAGAAAGTAAGACTTCAACAACAATTTTCGAATTATAATTAATTTTACTATTATTTATTGATTAGATGGAGTAGAAAAAAAACTAAAAATAAGGTTTTTGAAATATTTAGGTTTTGTTTTTTACAATAAAATATATAGGTTACCGTGGAATTTATTGAGAAATTATTATTAAAAAATCTCAAAAAAATTTCAACTAGGTTACTTCAAATTTTTTTTTAATATTAATTTCTCAATAAATTCCAAGGTAACCTATATATTTTATTGTAAAAAACAAAACCTAAATATTTCAAAAACCCTATTTTTAGTTTTTTTCTACTCCATCTAATCAATAAATAATAATATAATTCGAGAATTGTTGTTGAGGTCTTATTTTCTCATAAGACACTGCACAAATACTCACATTTAAAAAAAAAATCTCAAAAATTTGCACAAAGTTCAACATTAGATAAATAAGGACTTCAACTAATAGAAAAAAAATAAATTTTAGTCATAATCTAATATTTTTTATTTAACATTGGTGGCGAAAGGGGTGGCGAAAGGACCTCCTTAAGTAACGATTATATTTTGAACCGTATGCTTTTGGGAAGAAAAGATGCAAAATAAAATTCAAATTTTTTTATATGCAATATGCCTTACCAGAACTAGTTGACAGCAGAGCTATTAGAGACATGGAAATACGGGACAGAATACCAAATAAATGGTGAGAAATTTAGTTTAATTTTTATTAACATGACGCAAGTAGTCTTAAATTATTTGAAATATGTTTATTAATTTAAGAGTTACACTTTATTTATTTTTAAAACATGGAAGTAAGCGATCCATTTAAAATATTATTGATGTCTTATTATTATAATACGCTTTTTTAAATTTTACCATTAGCAGTGGCAATTGATATATAATTATTATACCAAATATTTTGACTAGTGGACCACGTTTTTAAGTTCACAAATAATAATATCAAGATTCTGATTCGGATTAGTAGTTTTACTACAAAGGGTTTTGTGCCAAAGCCAAGCCATGTATTGATATTTTAAAACACAGATGAGTAACTATATCACATCAAAAGAAATTGAAAATTCACACATGAATTTTTGTAACGTAATTATTTATAACTTTTAGCTAACTTATTTAATTCTAAATATAAATTGAATTTCATTTTAAAAGTTCATTATACTGTTTAGTTGTTGCAACTTTACTGCGCTTGGGTACCGTTCAGATTAAAATATAAATTGATTTATGGAGCTTAACTGAAAAACAGAAATAATGCTTTCATTCCATAGAAAAAGTATTATGGTCAATAAAAGAAATTTCGAACTGTGATATCTTCAAGCCCTTATTTAAAACCTTTAAATATTAATATTATCATTATACAAGAATTATCTTTACAAATTGTTACATATATCGAACATAATTAAGTTTGTTGACATAAAAATTATTTTCATAATACAAATAAATATATCCCTGTTAGAGAATGGTCATATTTTATTTAATATATTAATTTAAACATGTTTTTGTATTTTGTCTAGATGAAATTGAATACTAACTTTTTCTAACTTCTTATAACCCGACATTGTGAGATAAAAAAAAACTTATTACCTATCACTTTTTTCTTTCAATTCATTTGTAGTTTTTGCCCAAATGGATACATTTGTTCACCTGTTTTTATGAATTTGTTCCAGAAGCTGTACCTAGGTGGTTATTATAACAGATTATTCAAACAACAGAAATAATTTTGGTTAAAATATAAATAATAATATGCTGAAATATTTATATCTGATCGTTACATATTATAAAACCAAAGTATCTTTTCATTTAACTAACTCACCCCAAGTTTGAATATTATAAATCCGCTTGAATATAAAAAACAACAGGTATAGAAAATATTTTTTAAAAACCTAGTTTATTTAAAAATGTAAAATGTCAAAAAGACCATTTTTTATTGTCCCTTTACATTGGCCTCCTGTATTTGTTGCTTTGGCTTTTTGTATCGAGGACATCGGTGGTACAAGAGCGATTGTCTGGTTTTCTCTGGCGATTGTATTGCTAAACTATGGAAGCTTTTCTACTCGTCAGACAATTAGTTATTGTAAAATACATATTATTTTGTGCTATTATGGAATATTTTTCGGTTCCTTTTTCTCAACTTCGAGCGTTAGAGTTTAGAATATGTATCCCTCGTATCTACATTATTCTACATGCAATTGTTAAAATTATGAAGTAATTTTGTAGGATTTAGGCGCCACCCTTAAGTTGTAATTTTTATACCTACTAAACTACCGTTGCCCCGCAGGTCTTTCAGTTTGTAATGTAAATTTTTCTCTTAACATTACCTAAATTTTATTTATTTGGTTTAAATGTTTTATTGCAATAATGCCGACATAAAAATAACTGTTGTGTTTGTGTTGTCTTAAAAATTTGGATTGCATGTGGTACATTGTTTAAAAACTAAATATTAAGTAAAAATCTAAGGTACCTAACAGTCATAAAAAAGTTACAAATAAGTTACAGTAGGTAACTTAAAAACAAAAGACAATTGGGTTTTTTTTTTCTACACAAATATTCTCCATTAATGTAGATGACGTGTTACTGACTAAAATTCAAAAACTAACAAACCTATGGACAAGATGAATAGAAAACATGAGTGTCTCAAGAATGTAACACTTTGGAATACGTCAAATTAATGGTTAAACCATCATTAAAAACAAAACAAAATCTGCCAATTTTAGTTTTTTTTTTATAACACAAAAATCATTACTTTTTGATTTTGAAAACTGATCCGAGATTAGCACAATAAATTCTCTAAAACATTTTCCATTTAAATAACTTTCTAAAAAAAATTACGTCACACATTTTCTATCTTCTTCTACTAAATATGTTTTATAAATATTTATAACCTAATTCACAAAGCATTTTTTAATTTATATCTACATGTAAATCCTTTATCATCATAATTAATTTCTATTAGAATTAAGCAACATTTTACAAACTGTTATTTAGTTATTTTAATCTTGGTAAACTGGCATTCTCTTATGGTTTTCTCTCGATAATCAGAAAATTATTAAAGAATATTTAATTAATTTTCAAATTAATAAATATTAATGATCAATAAGTGCCAATAAGGCACTTGTTTCGATAACAAATATAAATATAAAAAAATATATACCTATAAAATAAAATTAATGTATTATAATATAAAAAAATATTTTAGATTATTTATGTAGGAGACAAACACAATCCAAATACCTACATTTTATCAAGAAGATATCGAAACGTTGATCATACAAAACGCAAATAAATATCATTTATTTGAATTTTGCTAATTACACTAATCACTTTAAATTTTATTTAAATAATAACTTTTATATTTTCTAAAATATTAAATCATCCATGATGTGACAAACAACCGAATTTCAAATAACTTATTTATTTTTTGAATCCTAAACACGCCACAAATGTTATTGCCAATTTGACAAATAAAAATATGTTTCCCCACGTTGGGCGCCTTTTTATATTTCAATTTTGGATGGATTCAAACTTCGAATATTTTAGATATTTCCTTTTGAACATCATTTATGAAATTTTTATGTAGGCAAGGTAAATTTTTTACTTACTAGCTTGAGGTTGTAGTTCAATCAATATGCTCCACATTTCCTTTGTAGCCTGCGTGTAATAACCTATTTCGGCATTAGGATGCAATCCGAATACTTCAGGACTGTTCGACAGCGGTAGCTCTTCAATAAATTCTTAAAAATAAAAAAATAAAGATTTTTTACAATAATTGCGCCTTCAATAACTTTTTACTTACGAATATATTCATCCTTGTTACCATCAGGAGGTATGGTATAATCAACGGTATTATCTCGAAAGAAATGGAACGGTTGAAAAGTATCAAACAGAAAATCTCCCATGTATTCGTTCATATATGTCTTGACAATTCTTCTGTCAAATTCGTCGATTACCCTTCCTCCGTACATCACCTCTCCTATAAGGTATTTCAAGCTATTCCACGGAAGCCTTGTATCCTTCATCTTATGTGCTTTAGTCAAGTACGTATTCAAAATGATTACGCAAACGTTGAAGTCAGATTCATTAAAATCGTAACAAATGTTCCAACCTAAAACAGAACAAAAATACAAGAGGGTAAGAATTTTAGTACACCGAATTTTAGTCCACCAACTCTTTATAGCAACAGAATCGTGGATATAGAAAAACGATTTATTTCCTCGAAAGTTTTAAATAAACATTTCTGTATCTGTATCTAAAGCGTGTGGAGAATGCATCCTCCTAAGTAGATAGGCACCTTCTTGCTCGTAAGCCAGCCTACAGATTTAATGTAGTTGACAACGATGCCAAGAGATGCTTCTCTTTTATCGGCCCTTGTTAGCCGATTCTCGCCGAACACAAATCTAACAAATGCGAGCGTCTGGAAATTGTAAAGAATATGCTTGATTGTCCTATCTTCTTGTTTGCATCCCCTCCAGAGCGCGGATTCTGACAGCCCCATGATATGGAGATGTTTTCGTACTTGGAAATTACCAGTCATGCCTGTGATCATGTTTAGATACTGTTTAGTCCAAGTCAAGTATTGTTTGCTGTAGTATTGTCAGGATAACTTAAAAGCTTCTGGCAACTGTGCAGTTTCTTGTATCATCCCCTCCTCCTTCCTTGAATTTCACAAGGGAATGTTCTTTAATGAAGTATGTGACTACCGATGTTGTAAGTCCAATAAAGGGGCCAGGTCCTAAAAGTATTTGGTTGGCAACCTTCTGGGCAAGTAAATCAGTAAGACGGTTACCTTTCGAGTACTAACCCTGAGTAAATTCGTGGTCTGTTCAGGGTGAGTAGTACTGGTCTGCTATCTGTATTGATTAGCATATTTCTTCCAGTGATATTGTTTCTGGTGATTTATTTTGCTGCTAGGAGAATTCCTATGTGCTGGGTTTGAACTAAACTGGCGATATTGCTCACAGCCCGTTTTATGTTTAGGTTTTAGGATATGGAATATATTCCACATTCTGAGCCTTGTTTTGTTTTAGAACCGTCGGTGTTGATATGAATTGTACCTGCCACTTTAGGCTCTTCTATTTGTTCTAACTGTATATGGCTTATGGAAAATATATACCTCAGTGAGATGGAATCGATGTTCGCTTAAAGCAGTGGGAGCGTATCGAGCGGCTCCTGCCAAAAACGATGTCTCGCCTCACCAGATCCTACATCAGGTTCTATTCTAACCGTGCAGAGGCGTGTCATTGTCATCAGAGTAACCTATTTGAAGTAAATATTAAGGGGAGTGAGACAAATAATGACTTTCATGGTTCTGGTTGGTGTGATTTTCATGGCTTCTGTTTATGCTAAGACATTATTTTCCTTGAATTTGTTCTAGTTTGCGGGTAGCTGTCAATTTTTAGATTTTCGGTACCCAGACAACTGCACCGTTATGTTAGTATATGTCTTATGATGGTTGTGTAAGTCTATTCGACGACTCTGGGGGAGAATCCCCAGATACGCCCCATGGTTCGGCGGGATTGTTCAGAAGCAATGTATGCTCTTTTTACTCTGTTTTCTAAGTGTTAATTTGCTGTCAAAGGTGAGACCTAGATACTTCACCTTTGTTGCAAAGTTTAGTTTTGAGTTTAGGAGCTCTGGAGGTTTTAATTCCATTTTTATCCTTTCCCTTGTGAAAAGATCCATTTTTGTCTTGTTAGGATTGATAGACATTAAATAGTCCTTGCACCAGTGTTCTGTAATTTTGAGAGCTACTTGCATTCTTTCGCAGAGTATGTTATCAAAATTCCCTGTTTGCAGAATGACCAGGTGTCATCAGCATACGCTGTTGTGTAGTGACTGTGATTATTGAGGCGGCTGATAAAGATGTCGAGGACCATGTTCTACAGTAAAGGTGGTAGCATCCCTCCCTGTGGACATTCTCTTGAAACCAAGCCTCTTATATTCACATCGACCACACTTATGTTTACTGCTCTCTCTGAGGGCATGTTATGTATCCATCCACTAACCACCAGTGGAACATTCCTGTTGTTTTGTGAGTGCGTGCGTGCACCTTCTTTGTCTATGAAAACATCCAAGGCGCACTCCTTATTGTCCAGGGATCTTTCTATTTGGCCAGTAACTAGGTAAAGGACTGAATCATTAGATCTGCATGGGGTGTATGCATGTTGATTTGGGGATTTGGGTGTAGTGGCGTTGTTGTAATCACCGCATCCCTTATGTACCTCTCGCATAGCATTTCTAATGTCTTCATAGAAAACGATGCCAGACTAATTGGTCGGTATGTTTTTGGGACAGTGTGATCCATCCTTTCAGGTTTGGGTATGAAGACCACTTTTACCTGTCTCCATTTTTTGGGCATATACCTCAGAGACAACGAGGATCTGAATATACCTACCAGGTGCGGTGTGAGTTCTTCTAGCTAGACACCACTGAAGTAGGGCTGGATAGATACCGTTAGGTCCTGGCGATTTAAATGGAGAAAAGCAGGACATTGCCAAACAAACACTATAAAACGTATAGTAGAACTCAAAAGTTGCAAAATGAAATATTAAATTCCTCTTAAAAGTTTACACATAATATCACATCATGCTTGATCTCAGACGCTCATCCAATCACACTAAAGCCGGTAACGCTTAGATAGCTTATTCACTGAATCTGTTGTATCGAGTCACAGGAACGGCATTCTTATAGAAAGTGGGCGTGTTACTCCTAAAATTTACATAGCCTGTATTCTCGAAGTCATAGGAATGTCCACTTCTATTGAAAGTCGTAGGAATATCGTTCTGATGGTTTTTGTAGAAGTACGAAGCGCATGCGCATTTGTTAATTTGTTTTGAGTTTATTTGACACTATACTAATAACAGTGACCGGAAAGAGTGATGGGTTTTAAAACAAAATAATATTCCAAGAAAAAAGGGATACATTAGCGTTGGCAACACCGTTTAACCACGTTCATCGGGTTTCTGGAATATGGATAATCCATGTCAATAGAAACGATGTATGATGTGCTCGGTTACTTCTACCATAGAGAGGGTCATATCGACCAAGCTCGATAATAGGTCACCTACAGCTTTTATATCGAGAACCAGAAAATTATTGACTGTCGCCATGCTCGCTTCGAGAAAAAAATTTTATTGTACCTCAAACTATCCAAATTTTCCATTTACAGCTAAGAAATGAACCTTGCTCAGACAAAATATGACACTCAACCACACAGATTTTTTTCAATGTCCTGTTTTAAATATTTTTTTTTTCGATTTATGGCCTAGGTGTAGTATATACCTAATATGCCAGTCTCAAGTTTGTGTTTAAATTCTTAATCATGTATGGTCTGTGTAGGCTTTGTTACTGTTTCCCAATGCCACTTTAGGAATAGCACTGTAAATTGGAACCCAACAGCGAATGGTCGAGTGGGGAATCCTACCAAGGCATCAGAAGTAATTTTAAATAATTAAATTAAATAAAAAAATCCCTGCCAACGGTGGAATTCGAACCTGGGACCCTTGGATCCGCAGGCAGAGACTCTACCACTGAGCCACTTATCCCCTTTGCTTTAAATATGAAACGTGCATATCTTCAAACAAGTATCTGCAAATGATCTTGAATTTTTCGAGATAAAATCTTTGATGGCTTTTATTTAGTCACCAACTGCTATTAAATTAAATCAAAAACAGCTCTAGTAGTTATTTAGGATTAGGACGCAATATGACAGCGAATTAGAATTATTATAGCTCACATAATCTCTCACTTATCCAAAGACGTATTTCTTTAGTTTAGGCTTTTTTGTAGTCTTTTTTATTATACGTATTAAAAAGATTGTTTTTACTATTTTTCTACACCTATTCGATTTTTAAATAAATATACTAACCTATTTTGTCGTATTTTCTTCTTTCTTGAACCACTGCATGAAAAAAAGCTAACACAAAAACGAGAGATCTGAAGAAAGGATGCGGACATTGATTCAAAGTTTGAGATCTCATCTTGAAGAATGTATTTCGCAGATTCAGTTTAAGACCTGGAAAACAAAAGTTTATTTTAAATAATTATTGTAATTGTAAAATAAATAAAGTGGTAACATTGAACTAAATTGAACATACCCGAGCTATCAGTTATATAGCTAGCTAAATTTGTAGTATCAAAATGAAAGAAATTAATTAAAGTTTGTGATATCAATTTCGGAATTGATATTATACCCTCCAGAACTTCATTAGATTAGATTAGAATTGAAAGGAGTTGGACATTAGTTGTCCTTGTCCACCGTGACCTTTTCAGATCTATTATTAGACTTAGTAGTTTTGACAGTGGCTCCCGCATGTAGTTCCATGTGCCTGGCTTTTATTCGCCTAATGTTTGAAACCTCAATCTAGCCAATCCTTCAAATTGGCACAGGACGTGGATTGATGTTACCTCTTCTTCTTCTTCACAAAACTCGTAGGATGATGCTTCTTTAGCTTCTTGGGCGACAGTATCCGGTAAGAAGACCTACTGTTATTTTAACGATTTGTCGTCTTTGATCCAGTAGTTCAGATCATAATTTTACTCATTTTAAAGAACATGATAAAAAGGTCTTTCAATTGTGCTCAAAACAAAATTCGTGAACACTATTTATGATCATATTTATCAAACACTACTCAGATTTCGTTGACCTTTTCAGATGATCTATTGTAGATATCCTTTCATTCTTGGTAAGAGTACCTTGTCCAGTTTGGTGTTTTGTAGTAAACTCCATAGATTAGGAAGTAGTTCTTTGGCATTTTTAGTTACTACCCAAACTTCCTACCAACTATTTACAAGAAAAACGGCTAAACTAGATAGGTTTGTACTAATTCTAAACGCATCTAACGAAAACAATACAGCTTCGGAAACGTTTTTCACTTATCAGTGCTCAAGTCCACTTTTAAGGTATTTGTAGCTTTTTCTCCAATAATAAGGAGTTTCAAATTTTACTGGCAGATCAAATGTTTGCTTTGATAGATGGGAAATAAAATAGCCGCTACTAAGTGACACCATTTCGTTCGTTCGCAATAGATGTATTCTCTTATTTTTTTTAAACAGACTTCATAAATATTCTGCAACTGACACTTACCATTTGGAGGCTCAGTGACAACCTTCAGTGATCTCTGCAGTACACCTACGGGAAATGTTGCTACTGGATCGGTCGTTAACCACAACCTAAAATCTGGATTGGGTTTTGTAATTTTTTCCAATTGCTTTTCGAGTCTTCTGATAAATGAAATCAGTAAATGACAGTTCTGGAACATCAACCACAACCCTCTGGAGATTGCAGTATCTAAGAGGCTCAGTGCCATCGGTTCTTGGCCTTGTCCTAAGGAAAGAAATCGGAATCTACCTCCACCGAAACCGCATCTAAAATATGATATATTAAAAAAAACACAGTTACCATGCTTTAGGTATACAAAATCTTTTACCTGTCTCCCAATTTCATTAGCTCAGCTGTGGGATCAGAACCGGGACTTAAAATAAACACAACAGGAGTTGTAGGGCTACTTTGATCAAAGATATTATCCAAACTTATTACCGGTGGCATAATATATTCTTCGCCCATGATTTCAGTGATATAATTCGCTACAGATCTAAAAACTCTGTCTACTCTGAAGCACCTGTGGAAATAGTTATAATTTTGGAATAAGGTTATCCATCTCAAATGAGGTATATTCGCAAAAAAAAGGAAAAACCTAGAGTTTTTCCTTTCCTTAATATTTTAGCAAAAAAAGTAATAGACACTTGCATGTAGTTATGTCTTGCGATATATATGAACTTCCACAAGATTGCGATTTGAGAATAAGATATTACCTTAGTAACATAAGAATATGAAATGGTGGTAATCTTTCGCTGTATCCACAAGGAAATTCATCACTTTCTGGTTGATCGGAATCGAACCATTCGTGCCAACTGTCTAAATTTTCTCTTATTTGGTCGGGCAATTCAATGAACGATCCTGGGAAATCTGCTGCTAATTTCACAATATTTTCCCAATTTTGAGTTATTATCCAAGTTGCCGGACATTCTACATCGCTTTTTTCTAAACTCACAGAGCCCTACGAAAGATTTCGGAGTTACATACTTATTCATGGAGTGTAGAAAATCTGACAAAGCCAAATTGTCAAGGTAAACATAGTCTTAATTGGTGCTGAAGTCATCCGAGGTTTTTATGGCAATTTATAAGGCACATTAATTTGTTGAATATGGTGGAATAGCTATCCAGATCTGTTTTTTGGTGTAAGAGGTTTCCTTGACACAGAGAAAAACAATTCTTACTTGTTTGTAACGTTTTAGCCTTGAACACCCGTTTTATTAACGTGGTATGTTCTACACAGCTTGCAAAAGGACTCGGTCAGTTTCAGATTGAGATACGGAAAATTCTACGTGTGAGTTATTAGAATTTAATTTCTGAGACAGTATCAATAATATATTGATACAACGAATTCTTCGAGACTGAAAAGACTAAAATAGAGTCCATTCAGGGTTAATTAACCGCAATTACAATTTAATTAAATAAAATTATTATTTCAAAGCCCACCCTTGTGAAACCTTGAACAAAAAAGATATTACCTAAATATTCGTTCGGAAAATATCAACTGGGAAGAGATTTTAATAAGATGGTAATAATAAAGACTGCATTAAGTAAATCTGAGAAAAATAAAAAATGTCGTATACCAGGTAAAACAACTTAAATCGCACGTTAGTTACTAGAAAATATTAATTCATGCTACAAAAATAGTTAAATCCTATACTAATATAATTGACCCACGAAAAATACCTCAGGGGGTTGATTTTTGACTTGTATGAATTTGATTCCGTAGAAAATAAATTCCTACGATAATATTCCTACAGTTTTACCTGTCAGCATTCTAGAGCACAATAGAAATCGAATTTTCTATTAGGCATTCTAAACAAAATAACTGTTGGTGGGAAGGGTTGAAATATCTAAGGGGTTGTGACCATATGATGAATTTTATCTATAGCACGTGAAAACATCAATACTGTAATGTATTATCGAACTGGACGTTGTCAGTAAAACACTTTAATAAATAACTCACAACCCTTTATTGCAAAATCAATTCCCAATTAATATAAATTTCCCAAATTACAATGGCGGCCACAGCCAGTGAACGTTGATGGTTGATGGATCCTCTCGCTCTAGACAGACCTGCGCATCATATCCCAATGTGTTACCAACTGAACATAAAACACTACACTTTTCCCCCCTTAAAATAATGTATTAAGCTTTGTAAAAACCTGTAGGCTTAACTTTACTACGCCTAGGTGTACTAGAATTGTCGTCCTTACTAGTGGATCCATCAGTTATAACATTATCCTGAGAAATATCATTTTGTACCACATCATTTATAGATATCTCTGAAGAAGATATATCTCTGAAGAATTAGAACAATTATTATTAAGTGGTTTAATATTATATTTATCATTTATTTCAAAATGATGGAAATCAATAATTTGATTTACATGTCTGCGCCAATTCTTGTCTACAGAAGAAATATAGATAAAATAGGTCCTTGGTCCTAACTTTTTTTTTACAATTTCCTTAACCCAAGTCGGTTTATTAATGATACGATAATCTCTTACTGCAACCTTATCATTTTCTTGAAATACCTTACTTCTTTTACCCCCATAAGATATAATTTGGCTTTGTTGTTTCTTTTGCACCATATTCTGTATTTCCTTGACATCTGTATTCCTGCTGTTACCACTTACCATTGATAAATCATGCTTACCACTAGTAATATTTACATGTTTATTTAATAAATCTAAAACTGTACGTATATTCCGATTAAACATAAGCTGCACAGGACTTACTCCAGTTGTACAATGTGGTGTTACTCTATATGATAATAAAAAATTATTTAAATTGTAATTTATTTGATCTACTGATCCTTTATTTACAACTTTTAATTGTTTTCACCATGTTATCTGCCTGTCCGTTAAACGCAGGATGATATGGGGGAATTTCCTTAAAAACATGCAATGTGTTTTTTTTTAAATGTCTGAAATTCCTCAGACTTAAAATAAGAAGCATTATCTACCACACAAACGTTAGCTAAACCAAAACGGGCCATATCTTCCCGCAACATATTTATCGTTGTGCTAGATTTAGTATTAGTTGTCAAAATTGCTTCTGGCCATTTCGAATAAGCATCTATAATAATGAAAATAAAATATTTTTGAAAAATTGGACCTAAATAATCAATGCAATCTGTCTCATGGTTTCTTAGGAAATTCCCACTGTATTAATGAAAATAAAATATTTTTGAAAAATTGGACCTAAATAATCAATGCAATCTGTCTCATGGTTTCTTAGGAAATTCCCACGGTATTAATGGTGCCTTTGGAGGCGAGTTCTGTACCCTAACGCAATTTGAACATGAATTAATTAAGACTTCTATATCATTATTTATCTGGGGCCACCATACATATGAACTAGCTAAGCTCTTAGTTTTGACCATTCCCAAATGTGTTGAATGAAGTAATTTTAATATTTTTCCTTTTAAAGAGTGAGGAACTACTACTTTATGCTCCAACATAAGGCAATCGTCTGTTAAACTTAAGTTATTTTGATAATGTTGAAATGGTTTAAATTCTGATAGTAATTTTTTAGGCCAACCCAATCTTACGTATCCAGAGAATCTTTTTAAAATAATGTATTTAGTTGTTTCCTCTTTAATTTGCTCCCAATCAATTGGTAAATCAGTATTGGCTGCTATAAAATTTAGACGGTGTTTTTAATTTTAAGATAGTCTTCAATTTGTCCAATAATTCTCCATTTATTTCGCTTGTATAAAGATACGCTGCCCCAACTGTGTAATAGTGTTCACAAAAATTAATGCACCATTAGAATCCATTAACCAATATAAATAAAATGTGGATCTCCACAATAAAAATTTACTAGAGTAGGTAGGCCTTGGAAAAATGCATCCATGTCAGCCTCTGATGTCAGCGGAGTGTACAATTCTTTTTTTTTTAGTGTCAGTTTAAATTTAATATGGAACCGTGCGTAGTTATTACGGACATAAGTCATATCTCTGTTTTAGTCGGTCATGGCCTACTTTAGAAATATTATTTGCAGATTACTCTATAAATTGAACAAATTTACATATAACTTGTGCATTAATCAAATTTCTAAGGTCTTACCTTAATAAAGAAATCGATCTCTGCCTGGCTAATCCTCTCTTCATTTTGCTCTAACTTGTAAGTCATCAGAAATGAATACAGTAACTTGTGCTTTTCAAAAATACCAGTACATCCGTAGTCGTAAACATTTTTAGTTAACGTATTAATAATATTTAGCAACCTTTTTGCAAGCAGCGTATGAGGCGGAGCCTTACGAAGTGAATAGGCGAATACCTTGAAAAAAATGGGAGGTAGATTAAGTGAAGTACAATTGAAATAATGTTACCTCTAAATAGGATCCTAGAGAAAACTGATACATAGCATTGACACCTGACAAATCCGACAACACAAAAAATAGTACCGACCCTCTTTTGGCTACTGATCTGTAACCGTTTCTAAGAACATCAATATTTTTGCCAGTCTCTTCGGCTAATCTTATTTTCGCCATCACTTCGCCAGCTTTGAATTTTGTATTTTCTAACGTTTGTACCAATCTGTCAAAAGGTTTATAAATTAACAATCAATAAAGTAAAAATGATAAAATTTTTACTAACTCCACATTGTCCAACATGTTTCCGCTAGTAGTAGCTAGTTCTATTAGAAGAGAATCTTCTAGCTCAGCTAAGATTTTCTTGTTATCGCTAGTCTCGGCAATCAAGGTTTCTTTTTGCTCTTCAAGATCGGCTCGTTCATTCCTTACTACCACACCCAAAAGTTGGTCTTCCAAACCTAAGAATTTATATTTTATACATTATTTGCGCATAATAAAACAAGACGATCAAACCAATTAAATAAAGTTTCACTGAGGAAACGGCCTCAGCTAAAGTGTTATTTAAATTTTTTGTTAGTAAATCACCATAGAAAAGCGCCAGCTATTCTAAGATGAATGTTTAACTCCTAAGGGAAATTGGTTTGATTTTGTTCATAGCATTTTAGATTCACACAACATCTAGTGAAAAAAGTTAACTAACTTTTAAAAAAGTTTAAATAATGTAAAATTTACAAGTATTAAAAGTGTTTTAAAAAACAGACTTCAAAATCGTGCAGATGCCATCACCACATTTTGACCAAATTTATATGGGATCACCATTGAGGTACCCCCTTACTAACAAAAAAGAATCATAGAAATCGGACAAAATGGTAAAGAATTATCGTTAAACATACATAAAAAAATATTCCGACGAATTGAGAACCTCCTCTTTTTTTGAAGTCGGTTAAAAATGCCTGTTGCCCAATTTAAATATTTTTTCTACACCCACATAGATATTAGCTTATTTTACGCACAGATTACAAAACGAAAAAGTATGCTATTGCCCTCAACTGAACGAATATATTTCATATCCATTCTAGGTAGTGAGAACACTGCAAAAAAATGAAATCCACCAATCACTGTTCATATTTTGATCAACCGATAGCTATTGTTTTTAAAATTTTAAATAAGTGACAATTCTGTCAAACTAATTGTCTGTATATTTTTTAGTTATTGAGATTAAACATACATTAAAATGGGTCATTCTTGTGTAGAATCAATAAATAATAGCATTTCTTTTTTTATTTCGTCTATAATTATAAATAATACTATACGAAGTCAATTTACTTACGAGTATTAAAGCAACAAAAATAAAAGAATAGGTGGTGCTGTGGTTAGCGTTCTTGTCTTCCACGCGGAAGATTTGAGTTCGATTCTTGGATAGGGAGAATGGACTTTTTTCTTTATTTTTTTCGTTTATTTTAGGAATTATTTAAAATCATAATAGTATATTATTAAACGAGCAATTTATGGTAGCCATTATTCACGAGTCTAATACTATACTTTGTCCACGACCATTATGGTTTCTTTATTAAATAAAAGTTAAGTGTAGAATGGAAAGTTTTTATTAAACATAGGTAACTAACTGTTGTTTTTTCGACTTTTCGATTTTTCGTTTTTATCGATTTTTCGATTTTTTGATTTTCAATTTTTTTTCGATTTTTCGATTTTTTTTCAATTTTTCGATTTTTTTTCGATTTTTCGTTTTTTTTTTTAATTTTTTCGATTTTTTTCGATTTTTCGATTTTTCGATTTTTTGATTTGATTTTGATTTTGATTTTTTGATTTGATTTTGATTTGATTTTGATTTGATTTTGATTTTTTGATTTTTTGATTTTTTGATTTTTTGATTTTTTGATTTTTTGATTTTTTGATTTTTTGATTTTTTGATTTTTTGATTTTTTGATTTTTCGATTTTTTGATTTTTCGATTTTTCGATTTTTCGATTTTTCGATTTTTCGATTTTTCGATTTTTCGATTTTTCGATTTTTCGATTTTTCGATTTTTCGATTTTTCGATTTTTCGATTTTTCGATTTTTCGATTTTTCGATTTTTCGATTTTTCGATTTTTCGATTTTTCGATTTTTCGATTTTTCGATTTTTCGATTTTTCGATTTTTCGATTTTTCGATTTTTCGATTTTTCGATTTTTCGATTTTTCGATTTTTCGATTTTTCGATTTTTCGATTTTTCGATTTTTCGATTTTTCGATTTTTCGATTTTTGATTTTTTGATTTTTTGATTTTTTGATTTTTTTATTTTTTGATTTTTTGATTTTTTGATTTTTTGATTTTTTGATTTTTTGATTTTTTGATTTTTTGATTTTTTGATTTTTTGATTTTTTGATTTTTTGATTTTTTGATTTTTTGATTTTTTGATTTTTTGATTTTTTGATTTTTTGATTTTTTGATTTTTTGATTTTTTGATTTTTTGATTTTTTGATTTTTTGATTTTTTGATTTTTTGATTTTTTGATTTTTTGATTTTTTGATTTTTTGATTTTTTGATTTTTTGATTTTTTGATTTTTTGATTTTTTGATTTTTTGATTTTTTGATTTTTTGATTTTTTGATTTTTTGATTTTTTGATTTTTTGATTTTTTGATTTTTTGATTTTTTGATTTTTTGATTTTTTGATTTTTTGATTTTTTGATTTTTTGATTTTTTGATTTTTTGATTTTTTGATTTTTTGATTTTTTTATTTATTGATTTTTTGATTTTTCGATCTAGAAAATATCGTTATGGAAAGTATCGCCTATCTTTAGTTATCTACCGGAATGTGCCAGAATTACAAAAGCGTGAATTATCATAATTCACTCCGTGATATATGGGTACCATATGCTTTTAGTTAGGAGGTAGAATATTGATTCATTATTAAGTGGTCGTGGACAAATTATTTTATCGAAAAATCGAAAAATCGAAAAATCGAAAAATCGAAAAATCGAAAAATCGAAAAATCGAAAAATCGAAAAATCGAAAAATCGAAAAATCGAAAAATCGAAAAATATAAAAATCGAAAAATCGAAAAATCGAAAAATCGAAAAATCAAAAAATCGAAAAATCGAAAAATCGAAAAATCGAAAAATCGAAAAATCGAAAAATCGAAAAACCAAAAAATCGAAAAACCGAAAAATTAAAAAATCGGAAAATTGAAAAGTTGAAAAAAACAACAGTTAGTAACCTATGTTTAATAAAAATTTTCCATTCTACACTTGACTTTTATTTAATAAAGAAACCATAATGGTCGTGCACAAAGTATAGTATTAGAATCGCAATTTATGGCCATTATTCCCTCGGGTGACTTGCGCCCCTCTTCTACGACTCAGGACGTAAACGTCACCCTGCGTGAATAATGGCTACCATAAGCTCGTTTAATAATTTACTATTACTTATATGTTTAATAATTAATAAATAATTAACCTTGTATATCTTAGCAACTTAAAACAAATCCAGAACAAATTAAATAATGTTTATACACAGGGTATTATTTTCGTAATTCATTATTCTTAAGCATTATTTTTTATCTTACGTCTATTACGTACCTGTTAAAGTGACTGTATAGTTGATAACTAACGCAATGGCGTAGACAGATGGATTAAACTGAGGATTAGCCAATTTGGTGGTCATATAGAGTCTGAAATGGGGATCCCAATCGATTTCTTTATCTCCTAAAACGATAAAAACTCTTCCTGCAGCAATTCTGACATTTTTCATGATAACAATCTCAGCGACTGGGTCTACATAATCGTCGACATCTTGAAATAGTACCGGAGTACCATATTTGATGGCCATTTCCAAATGCTTTACGAATTCAGGATCGGTGAAACTTAAAATCTACAAAATAAACAGTCATACCAATTGAGCAAAGTTAAATTACTATTATAATATATATTAACTATTCTTATGCTGCGAATGCATCTGAGATGTGAATTTTTTATCACGTGATAGAGAATTAGATTTGTTTGTAGATGTAATGAACAAACGCTCTAAACTTTATTGGTAACGTGATAAAATGACAATGACAAGTTAGAAGTTTATACTTTTTAAATTTGACTTTTGAGACTAGAAGTCAACCTAAATTTAAAATCTAAACAAAAATTAAACTAATCACCAGGGCTGGTATATCTAAGGGGGTCGCGACATAGGAGTCCATTTTGGACGCCATTTTTTTCGAAATAGTAGTCGCCATTGATCTGGCAACGTGGCAACTTGTAGTCGCCAGGTTTACCAATATAAGAAAAAAAATCTGTCATTTTTTAAATGACATTTCCATTATAAAATGCTCATATTTTTTAGGATAAAATATTTCAATTTAATAAATTATTAATCTCAGATGTACATAGAATACGTCGGGAAAAGTAGATCACTTTCAATTTTGTGCTGTTTTGGTTTTGTTTATTTTAAAAGGTAATTGAAGAGATGAAGACAATTTTCTTATAGATGATGCATAACAAATTATTGCTCCCTTTTTTAGAGCTCCAGTCCCTTAAGTCTATTTATTTTAGGTCTTTTTAAATTGTTGGTAGGTATTATTCATTTCATTTGTATGTTTTTAGTTAATTTAAATAATTTTGTGTAATATCTTGCAATTTGTTTTCTATACATTTTAGCATGTATTTGTTGTCTACATCTCACAAAGGATGGCTTTGAAATACCTTTACAACAGAGGTACTTTCCTAAAACTGGCCGAAATTTGAAACTGAATACAGTTCTTAGAGAAAATCTCCAGTAAAAAAATGTCTGCATGCAGAATAACAGCATAGATTAACAAAGCTGACAAAAGAGTTGGACAAACCTTTGTCTAGCTTTTTTAATATTTCAGGACACTAGTGTTAACAGCAGACTACAACACAAAACATCCAAAGTTTAGTAATCAAGCAAAATATTCGGTATCTCCAGAATTATAAACGTATGTATGGTTTCGAATAGAAAATTACCAAAATTAGCATATCTAGTGAATATTGTATTTAAAGAATATATTTTTATTCAAAACTTTTGTGCTTCTACTCCAATACTAACCATATAGAAGCATATGCATTTTATAGTATTTGCAAGATTCGGATCAAATGTACCCACAATTTATAAAGATTATTAAACTAAAATTAAACATTTCAAATAACACCTGCTTTTATGTTAAATATGTTTTTATTAAATACACAAATTAGTTTCAACCACACATTTTTTTTTTGTTTTTACTTCTAGTGTAAAAGTGACTACTAATTCAGTCTTTCAAGTTTATTATTTATAGAGACCAGCTACTACAAAATATCTTATTGATGATAACTAATTTCTCTTTAATAATGGTTTTACATTTATTAACATTTTACAGCACTTTGTTTATATGAAACATCTATGTAACTCTTAATTAAATCACATTTAAATCAAGTAATTACATTTTCATATTCAACTTATGTATTCTTATTAGAACTTGGTCACTTTTTTACTTTGAATCTTTTGACTGTGGTAACAGTCCATTCACCAAACCACAAAGTCACTTAAAAATGTTGAAAGAGAATATCATAAAGGTAAAATTCTTTCTTCTATCGTGTTTTTCATGCAATTTTAGGTTGTAAACGTTTTGTCCAACACCTTTTTTACAACTTATCCCAAGCAACACTATGAAAGATTTAAATCCTGGATTAACAGCATTCAGTTTCGAGATGAGTGCAGTCACAATGTAGTTTAAGATATAATTTTCACATGAACACTTATTTACCACAGCACAAACGCATGTACCTATTCATGTAACATTAAAATAAAGTGGAAACAAATTGCATAATTTGGTATATAAAAAAGTACAAAATGTTTTTAGTTTTAATTCGACATTGGACTACGACTACGAGGAAAACAGTGGTTCATTCCACTTGTACCATATTGACATTATTATGCACGATGCTCGTTCAAACGAACATCAGAAAAGTGTTGCCAACTTAAGCTGACTACTATTTCCCCCCTAGCCTCAGTCACCCCCTCATCCATTTACTGGGTCTATGTCGCGACCCCCTTAGATATACCAGCCCTGACTAATCACTTTTTTATACATAAACAATGGATAAATCGATAAACTTGGCTTCACAGAACACCTACTTTCTGGCATACAACGAACATCTCATTGACATCTCATTTCAAATCGAAATGTAAAAAATATAATTTGGGCAGCTACATCTCGGATAAACAAACGCAGATGTAGATGTAGTAGATTTGTCCGATGTAAAAAATGCATCGGATGTGGATATTCAAACGCGGCATGATTCTTTCCGAGAGCCAATAAAATATCTAGATGACAGAACTACCATTAATTGATATAAATTGATAATAGGGCTAATTTAAGATCATAGTGAGATAAAGGATATATATTGAAATTTTAAAATAAAAGAGATTTTCTAAGCAAACATTTTAGAAAAAAATTAATTGGTTGACACTTTAGTTTGGATATAAAGGGAGGACATGCACGCACGCACGCACGCACGCACGCACGATTAGTAGTGGTCGTGCGATTTAACGCATTTTCTATTTTGCATCCTGTTATTTGTAAGGTTAGGTTGCTCATTATCAGAAAAATGTACAAATCTCAACAATAACTGAAACCGGTCCCTGTTCATAACATTTGCTATGAATTCATTTCTAAACATTTTTTCTTTCGACCAAAACAGATGAACTGTGGGAGCGGCGCTAGTCCCATTACAATAAGCACAGCGAAAAACATTTTCATCTCCGAAATATCAGTTTCGGTCCAATTTTTACTGTGTGATGCTCTATGACCGGGAGCCTAAAGTTTCTGAGACGCTTATTTGTTCGTTTCCATCACAATGGTCTGTAAAATGTCATTGATAAGAAATTTCGAAAATATGATCACCGACATCTCGAATATTTATCACATGCTGTGGTGGTGATTCTTGGAAGGTGGAAATTGAACTCGTTACTGGTTGGCACGATAAAACATTTATTGTTTCTGATTGAGAAGGATTCTCAGAATTTTTGTAAGAACTTGACTCGATTATTTTGCGAAACAAATTCTTCTAACTCATATCCCTCGAATGTTGTGTCGCTTTCTTCCCAGGAAGGTTGATAATTTTTATCAATAATAGAATCGTCACTGCTGTAGGGATCACTTTCTGATTCACTGTCAGTGTTCGGCTCACTAAGAGTTTGTTTTTGTGCTAACTCTACCAAAAGTTTGCTAAGAGAATTAATTATTCACTATAGAAATATACCTAACTCAACTTCATACAATGAATGCACTCAACACACTGAGAAGAAACGAATGTTGTGATCACGCCAGTAAAAATTCGCGCCTAATCCATCCAATTTCGCGGGTTTTCTTGCTACCGGAGGCAAGTGCCGTACATAAGTTAAAAAGCAATAGTTGTATAACGGCACTTGACTTTGGGAGTCAAGAAAATGTATTCTGTGATATCCATATTCTACTAAAAATATGCAGCATAATGTGACGAAAGTCTAATTTATTTAAAGTTTATTTATTTAAAAATACACTATTTACAATTTATTTCAGACGTACTATTTAATTTATATAATATTTAGACACTAACTAACAATTCTAATTTATTTCTTACACTTTAACTTTTCAATACAATGTTCTATATTGAACTGTCTATATCAACTAACTGGGCGCCAATACGTTGGCTACTTATATTAATCCAACTCCGCTACTGGAAGATACGAGAGGCTCTCGAACATTCCATTTGTGTGACTAAACGGCACTTCCCGACGTTCCAGCTGTTTCTAGTACATCAGCGGCAGACATTCCGTCGTATTCTTGTATATTCGAGAAGCGGGCCGGCTGTTTCCACACGTCAGCGTTGCTTCGATTACGAGTCGGTTGCGTGCGTACACAGGGTCGGATTAGGAATTTAATGACAATAACTTTATTTGTAACATAGCCATACGTAAAAAATTAAGAAATTTAGAGGTCCCATCCAGAAGTAATATCGCGAGTAATTTGATTCCTTATTATAAGAAATCACCGACTCTTGACACCAGGGCAAGAACCGTGCTTAACGTATTAAAAATCTTTTACAAATCGGAAGCCAGCCCTGACCCACAGCAATAGTAATTGCAATTTAACGGTTTTTTGAATTCCAGGAAAAACATCTTTATACTGTTAAATATGTTGCTGCACAACCTACTAAGTAAGTGAACTGTCAAAAGTTTCGTCACTGTCATTCTGCCTAGTAAAGTTAGTTGTCGGTTGTCACTAAAATATTGGCGGTTACAAGTTGCTTGTATTTTTCTATTCAATATACGTTTCCTAATTTTATTCCCATAAAAGGTTATGGGCCCAGATTACGTAAAATAAAGAAATAAGGAAACCACAGATAATAAATTAAAACATGATGAATGTATACACAAATGTACCCATGTTAACAGCCAACAATTACAACAACTGGAAGTTCATAATGGTAGCAATTCTACGCAAAGAACAGTGTGCAAAAACGATAGAACAAGACCGCTGATGGTGCAAAGCAAGCATTTTTAAAATACGTCTACAAGGTGCTATATTTGTGGTGATAAAAATCATTTTAAAGAAAGGTTCCCTAAAAGGAACTTTTATGGACGGTTTAATAGAGGAAGAGGGCGTAGAAGTAGAGGTTTCAAACGAGGGTTTAATAGAAATACAGAACAAGCAAATTCGGCAGATAACAACATCGTGTTAGTGGCAATGAGGGTAAACTATCAAAATGATATGTTAAAAGACAATGTTTTTGTGTTGGACTCTGGTGCAAGTAATCATAATATAAAAGAACTGGAACAAGTGATATCAGTGCACATTGCAAATGGTCAGGTTCTGAAAGCCACAAAGAAATGGGATCTGC